CCACACATCCACACACCCACACCCACACCCAACACCCACACACCCACACACCAACGCACTCATGCACTCACGCACGCACGCACGCACTCACATGCACACACAGCACACAACACACAGCACACAACACACGACGCACACAACACACAACACACAACACAGCACACAGCATACAACACACGCACATACGCACACAACACACCACATCCACCACATTTCATACAACACACAACGCACAACATGCACACACACACGCACTCACACCCACACCCACACCCACACTCGCACTCACACTCACACCCACGCTCGCACCCACACGCGCACGCACTTACACACTCACACACTCATGCACAAGCACACCCGCACACCCGCAAGTGGGCTCAGGGCGCACCGCGACCTTGGTCTGATCAGCCTCCTCGTCGTCGTGGTGCTGCAGGTGCTACGTTGGATGAGGCCGGTCAAATCCTATGTGAAGCTCGGTCGAGACGTCTGGGACCTGGTCAAGTCTGCTCTGTCTCAGTCCAGCCGTGATCGTGTTCAGTATGCGAGGGCGGCGGCTGCAGCAGGATGGGCCCCAGGCGTCACGAGTCTAACAATGTGGAGAATGCTGCGAAAGCTGTCCCTCTGGTCAGCAGCGGCTGCAGAAGGCGAAGGATGCGGCCGCCAAGGCTATGGTCGCCCTGCAGGAGCAGCAGGTGGTCGTCCTTGTTCTGGAGAAGGAGCTGGCTGCGGCGAAGGAGGAGGCTGCCAAAGCCCTTGGCGCCTCCATTGCGCCGCCCCAACTGGACCTCGGACCCCTCTCGGAGCAGCTCAAGCAGCTGCAAGCAGGAGCTGGCCAGGGGACCACAGTGGAGTCCGTCTTCGGCGAAGCCACCAAGGTCACCATGGAGTTCGCCAAGCAGCAGCAGACGGCGGCAGCGCCCGAGGCAGTCTCAGCCCCTCCCAGCGGCGGGGCGCAGACCGCCAATGGTGCAGGAGCGGCCGCCGCAGGTGCTGGTGCGACCGACGCGACTATGGGTGACGTGGATGCTGGCTTCAGCGATCATCTCCAGGGCGACGAACCTGGAGGGCTCCTGGCAGGGGCCGCCAGCCCTGAGGAGCGCAAGTGGCTCTTGGACACACTGGATATCCCGCGAGCAGAGGCCAAGAGAAGGAAGACTGGCATGTAGTGGTGCTCGTCAGCGGCGTTCTTGGGTGTGCCCCACGGTGGGCGCCAACGCTTATTCTACCTTTGAGGCCTTCCTTGCTCGAGCGGAGATTAGTCGGTCAGATTTCGTCGCTGTTTCAGAGACGCACCTTTCTGTTGACAGCAGCAGTGAGGTGACAGCGAGGTTGGCCAGGGTTGGCTGGCATGCACACGCAACCCCACCCGAAGGAGCAGGGCCAGAGCTTCCAGGGCATGGGGGTCTTCTCCTGCTCTCGCCGCGTTTGCACGGCATGGGGCAGTTCGAGGGGGTCGGCAGCTCGGTCATCGACGTCGGGCGCGCGTCTTTCGTGCACCACTCGGGATTATGCCCAGGTGGTGTCGTGCTGGCCACCGTGTATCTGCACGCGGGGGAGGGGCTCTCGTGCGCCAGCGAGACCATCGTGCACATGGTTGCGACCATGTTCCAGGTTGTACATAGAGGTTATACCGCCTGCTGGTCCGGGAGCCGCGCAGCGGCTACACCCCGGAGACGTGGACGTGGTCCTCGACCGACCATTCATCGTCAGCGGGGACTTCAAAATGGAGCCCGCTATCTTGGTGCGTTCCTCTTTTCTCGAGCTGAGCGGTGGGCGCGTGGTAGCGCCGAGCTCAGGGGCGTGCGGGCCAGCAGAGAAAGTCATTGACTACTTCGTGGTGCCCAAGCAGTTTCGTGTTGCCCACGTTGAAGTGCCCCAAAAGTGAGAGTTCGGGCCTCGCCGCCCCGTCAGGCTCACCATTGCTGGCACGCAGATCGACGACTGGGTCCAGGTCATGCGTGCCGCTACGTTTTTTGTCCCCTCCAGTCTCTTCCCAGCTGGGTGCAGCGCGCGCGGCTTCACTGTGGGCTGTCGTACGCTGCCGGGTGCCGCGGTGGACGTGGGCGCGGCTTGGAAGCAGTTCATCGGCGTTGCAGAGCATTAGCTGAGCGACCTTGCTGGGCCTGGTCTTGGGAAGTATGGTGGGCGCGGCCGTGGGCCTGAGCTGGCGCGGGCGAGAGCGTGCCCACCCTCGGCGCCGCGCATCCCCATGGTGAGCAAGCCTTCGATGTGGCTGAAAGAGTTTGCACTGGCAGCAGCGGGCGGTGCCAGCGGCGATCTTACTCGGCGAGTGCGGGGTCATCGTGCTCTGGGTCTCAGGCAGAGACGGCCTCCCGACAGCTCGTGGTGCCAGGTGGTCGCCCTCCTATGACGTGCGCGAGCGTGCGCGTGCGACGTCGGAGCGGAGTGCCTTGCGGCGATCGCCGAGCATATTGCCGACGACGCCGTGACGCACGGCGTGAAGGGGCCCAAGTCGCGCTTCGGCGACTGGATCGACGCGCGGGCCGTTGTCGGAGGTGCCGCGCTGCGTGCCTTCACGGAGGAGCCTGCCGTTAACGCGTCCGCGATCCAGGGGGTCGAGGTGCCAGTCGGCAAGATGGGGGCTGCGAGGGCGCTGGTGGCCGAGTGGGATTGTGCTTGCCTGAAGATATTGGCGAGCGGCCCGAACGGCCGACCACGGGCCAGCTTCGACGGGTGTGTGCAACCTTCAGGGTGCGCCGAGGTCGGAGTTTCGATGGCGTCGACCCCCGCGACTTTGGCGCGCTTGACGGTGCTGGCCTGAGGGCGCTGCCGGACTTGATTGTGGCGGTCGAAGGGCGGCGCTGCCGGCCGGAGTTTATCAGGGAGCTTGCATGCGTGCCCAAGCGAGAGGGCGGGGCGCGACCCATCGCCCTTCTTGCCGCGCTGGTGCGAGTGCATGGGGGGCTGAGGCGGCCCATGATCGCGTCGTGGGGAGCGGCCCGCGATCGCAGCTATTGGTGGGCGTCAGCAGGCAAGAGTTGTAGCCGAGCAGTTTGGCAACAGTTGGTCTGGGGCGAGTGGGTCTCGATGAAGCGCGAAGAAGATCCAAGTGCTGACGTGGGCCGCGGCCGCGTTGCATCTTGACTCGTGGAAAGCGTTTGGGCAAATAGGGCATGACGCTGTGTTGACATGTACTCAGAAGTATGATTCCCCGTTGTGGCCATTGAAGGTGCATCTTGGAATTTATGCCAGGACGCGTGCGCTGGCGCTACATGGGGCGGTCTCGGACTTGATCTAGGTGCACCAGACCGTCTTAGCAGGTGACTCGTTCGCCATCGCCTTCGTGGAGCTGCAGCGCATCGAACCGGTTGGTCGCATGCAACAGGTTTGCCCCGCTGTCGCCTGCCATTGCTGTGGACGGCCTCGTCTTGCAGCGGCATGGTGGCGAGCGGGGAGTTGCCGATGACATGGTCAATCGAGGTGGCGCAGGTTTTGGCGGGCGGGCTCGCCAGAGACATGGTCTGCAGCGCCGCCAAGAAATTTCAAGTCTTGGCTTCCACCCCTGCTCTCAGACAGACGCTGAGGGCTAAGCTCGCGGGGGTCGCGGGGGCCCGCGCAGCGCGGCGCGCTAGGGGCCTTGGCACTGGCTTTGTTCAGGGGCGCGCGTTGGGGCGCGAGGTGCGACGGGGGCGCCTCCGAGTTGCTGGGCGGCGAGTTCCCAGAGTGCGGCGAGACCTGGGCAACGGAGGTCGACGCGCCATCGCGGCTCGCATTGCCGAGCAGGGCCTCGAGGCAGGCTTCGCGCACAGTGTGAACTGCGCGGGGCTAAGCGATGGCGACCTGCAGGCTGGTCTCTCCGTGGCGTTCCGTGCCGCGGAGGCCTGGGTAGGCGGCAAAAGTCGCGCGCCCTGTCTCATGCCGTCGCCTGTTCGCGCTCGACCCCATCTTTCGAGCTACGGTCGACCCAGTCTGCGTGCTTCATCGTGCTGTTTGGGGCGGGTGGCTGCCTCTGCCCATTCTGTCGGCGGTGCTGGCGCGGGCGTTCGCGAGTGTTTCCTCTGGGTCTCAAGTTCGCGGGCCGATCAGTGCGGCCTTAATGTCCCTGCTTCGCCTCGGCCGGGCTGCCCCCAGTACCAGTGCTTGGGTCAACTCGGCGAACGGTGTGGCATGCAAACCGCTGGACTGGTCGCCGTGGTCTACCGATCAGCTGGCGAGGAAAGCAGTTGCGTGGTGGCAGTTTCAGAGGATTGCACATGAGGTGCCGCATTTGGACAACGGGCTCAATATATCGCAGCTGAGGCAGTGGATTCACCATGGGATGCCATCCGCATCGGCAGGGCGCGAGTGGCCCATCCTGGGTTCGGAAGGGGCGGCGGCGTGCGAGGTCGCTCACTGTCGGAGGGCAGTGGACCAATTACCGTCGCTATCATAACATTCCTTGGTGGGCTCACTCAAAAGATTGCAAACTGTGCCCTGGTAGAGTGGGCGCGCTATGGCACAGTCATACTGGCCGCAGCCGCACTTGCCCGCGGCCATGGAGATTCTTAAGAGGCAGGCCGGTCATCACAACATCGCCACGTTGGTCGGGAGGCTGCTGATGGTCAGGCCGAGGGTGCGATGGCAGGCGCCCCAGGATGGGCTTCACTCCTCTGTCAAAGGGATGCTTGGGAATGGAGGTCTGCCATTCTGCAACGACGAGCTTTTCACTGACGTCTCTGCATTCGACCTCGACATCGACTGCGGGATGGCGGGCCGCGCAGTGGTGCAGATACTTTCTGGGCCCTGCTGGTTCGACCGACCCAGGCCCTAAGTGTGCCCTGCGCGCCCTTGGGCCGCCGCTGATGGGCATGCGCCGGTCTATTGAAGGAGCAGGGTCGCTTGCTGTGCCCATTCTTCTGTGGCGCAGCCTGGCGCCCATCGCCATGCGGACCGACGCCAGCGACGTGGTCGACGGGCTTCTCGTTTGTGGGCGTGGTGGCACATGTGGGGCGTCGCGCAGCTGGGCGTTCCTGCGGCTGCTGGCGCGGGGCGCCATCGATGACTTTGGAGGGCTCGGCGGCGACGGGCTCGCAGTGATCAATGTGAAAAGACGCGGTGCGGTGAGTGATGTCGAAGTGGGACGGCTGGCGCGGTGGGGGCACCGTGGTCATCTCGAGGCCGACGAGTGGGCTAGGCGGGTCGCTCGTCCATGCGCCGTGAGAGCAGCGGGCAGGGCCGAGATCGAGCGCGCGAGCCTCCTGGTGGACGGCGTGGTAGCCTTTGTCTCCTGTGCTGGTGATCCTGCGTCAGCTGCCCGCGACGACATCGACGCCGACGCGGTCATTAAGCAACCGGCCAATGTCACCCTGAGCCTCGCCGAGCATTGCTTTGTGGTTGATGCGGGTTGCTGGCGGCGCTCCAAGTGTTGGCGATGTGCAAGCACCGAGAACTCCAAGCGGAAGCTGTTCAGCGGGCCGCGCGTTCCGCGGCCAGTCACTAGCGCGCCGCGCCCCGCAGGATCGGAGGCTTCAGGGGTGAATCACCCATCTGCTGCAGCAGGTCTTGTTGCGGCAACGGCCTTGGCGGCGATAGCTGCGTCGCAGGGCTGCAGCTTGGGCGGAAATGACGGCAGTGAAAATCGAGGAGGCACGAGCGATCATTGCCAGTCTGGTTTGGCCTCGTCGAGCTCTACCAGTGCGGGTTCCAGGGCTCCAGCAGCTGCTCCTGCAGGCGCTCGGGGTCTCGATGTCCGCATTGTGCGTGGCTACCGCGTCTGCCTGAAGCGCCCTTCGGAAAAGAGAGGGCCTCGTCCGCGAGTTCGGGAAGGACTGGGCAAGCGGGGCAGCAGGAGAGGGATTTGATTTTTCGTGGCATGGATTCAAGAACGCGGAAGCCTCTGGCACAAGCTTGAGGGGAAATGCCTTTGCAGTGTGCCCTGTTGCTCCGGTCCTGTGGGCTCGCTGCGAAAACCCTTTGGGGCCTCTTGCGGTTGTGCGCGTGGACTCCTGAAGGTTCGCTGCAGTGGCCCGCTGGCAGAAGCCCATCGTGCCTTCGTGTGGTCAGCGTTCTTCTCTGTTGATCGTGAATGTGCACGGTTTGAGTGGCGGGCCCCTCCTTTGCGAGCTCCCGTGTGACCTTCTTTCGCTCATCGAGCCTCCGAGCGTTGTGATGTCTGAGCGTGTCGCGTTGTGCTTTGGCAGTTGTCGTGATATTTCGCACGCTTCGCGTGGCGGGTGCTCCAAGGTGAGCCTGACCTTCATGCTGTCCTTGCATTTCACGCGCTTCGCGTGGCATGGCCTCCGGGCGTTGTGAGTCCCACGCTTCGCGTGACGTGCTCGCCCGAAGGGCTGATCTCCGCCGTGCCTTCTTCTGCGGCGTGCATTGTGGGGTCCTGCCGTAGTGTTGCATGGTTCGATCGGGCCTTGGTCTTGGTCTTGGCGGCCCTGGTGGCTGCCGCGTGCGCAGCTTGGCTGCGCGCGCCTCACGAGTTTTTTGTACGTGATATCTATTCATATATATATATATATCATCCCAGTGCGATCCGACCTAGGAGTTGGAGCCCCGAGGAAAGCAGCATAAGCTAAGCTAAGCTAAGCTAAGGTACCTAAGCTAAACTAAGCTAAGCTAAGACGAGATAAGCTAAGCTAAGCTAAAATATGCTACGCTAAGCTAAGATAGGCTAGGCTAGGCCAAGCTAAACTAAGCTAAGCTAATACACGATAAGCTAAGCTAAGGTAAGGTAAGCTAAGCTAAGATGAAGATCAGCTAAGACAAGGGAAGCTAGGATAAGCTAAGCTATGATGAAATACGCTAGAGCTAAGATGAGATGAGCAACGCTAAGCTAAGCGAACGCAACTTGGGGAACCGCGGGGCGGATGCCGGGGGAACCGCCCGGGGTATGGAATACTGCCCGGCCCTTTAAGCATACCGAGTAAGAGCCCTTCTAGGCAGAGCCCAGGTCGGGAAGAACATGTACAAAACACGTTCGCACGCCCGCGTGCCCGCGCGCAAATGCACGCGCACACGCGCGCGCACGCGCGCGCGCACGCACACCCAACACGCACAACACAAACCACACAACACACCACGCGCGCAGCACACGCCATGCACAACCCACAGCGCACACACCACACAAAACCAACGCAAACTACACGACGCACTTGCGCGCGCACGCACGCGCGCACGCACGCGCGCGCGCGCGCACCTACACCCGCGCCGCCCGCGCGCCCGCGCGCACGCACGTACGCGCGCACTCGCGCACTCGCGCACGCGCGCGCACGCACGCCCACACACCCACCCACCCGCGCGCACGCACGCACGCACGCACGCACACACGCACAGACATTCGCACAGACACCACGCACAACACACACGCGCGCACACGCACGCACACACGCACGCACGCACGCACACACAACACATATCACACACAAAACGCACGCGCACACGCACACACGCACAAACGCACACCCGCGCACACATCTCACACAGCACACCACACACCACACACCACACAACACACACCACGCACCACAACACAACACACAACACACAACACACATCACACACAACACGCACGCACACGCGCACACATACGCACGCACACACACTTGCACATTCGCGCACGCGCACACACACGAACACACACACGCACATTCGCACACACGCGCAGACGCATACACACATTCACGCACACACGCACGCGCACGCGCACGCGCACACACGCCCACACACACGCATTCACACACACACGCACACACTCATACACACACAACACGCGCACGCATTCGCGCTCACATGCGCACACACACACGCACACCCACGCACCCACGCGCGCGCACGCACACACGCCCGTAGACGGTCGGACAAGCAGACGGGCAGGCAGACAGACATACCGACCCACAGACAGACAGGCAGACAGACATAAAGACACACACGCACACATTCACACACACGTACACACTCACGCGCACACACATACATCTATACATGCACATGCGCATACACATACACACATACGCATACACACATACACGCATACGCCCATACACATACACACATGCACATGCACATGCACATGTGAATGCACATGCGCATGCACATTCACATTCGCATTCGCATACACATACACATACACATGCAAACGTACACATGCACATGCACATGCACATACACATACACACACGCATACATGCATACACACACGCGTACGCACATGCGTACACACTCACACGCGCACCCTCACGTGCTGATTGTGTGTCGCTCCTCAATGCCTGCCACAGTGCTCCCCGCTGTTCCCGCCATTTTCGGGAAGGCAGGCGCTGAAAGGCCAGGGACGCTGCACGCTCGCGGGGCCACTTGCTGGGGGCGCTGTGTGCTCATTGCTCTGCCGTGCCCCGAGGGCCATGCCTTGCTAGTCCTGAGTCATGGCGTCGTGCGGTGTCCAAACCTCCTCGCGGTGCGAAATCAACAAGCGCGACGGACGGTTTTTGCCAGTTGTCGGCCTCGGGACCGTCCAAAAAACGGCTCGGGATGAACGCCAGTCTTGGGGAAGGGGTCCAGACTTCGAGGGGCCAACGTTTTGAACAAACGTACTCGGAGTTCTGAATATCGTGTCCGTTAGCCTGCTGTGGTATCGACTGTGCCTCTGGCGAGCCGCCGCCGCATCCCAGCCTTGTTGGAAAGGCTCTTGTGGCCGACCCTCAACGTAAGACTCGCTCGGCAGCGGTTGAATTATGTTCCCCAGAGTATTGTCTGGGCGATTGGGGGAACACAGGGCTCTTTGGGGGCCGTCCTTGGGGGCTTCCTGGGGCCCATCGCCGTCTGGGGCCGTCTTGGGGCGCTCTTGGGCCGTCCTGGGGGCCTCGAGGCGGCCTTGGGGATGTCTTGGAGCCGTCTTGGGGCCTTCTGAAGACTCTTAGTTGTTTCGGGGTTCTCTTGGGCTGCCTTGAACCCTCTTGGGCATCCCTCTTGGGGCCCCCATGGTCCTTTTTCAGTTCCACTTGGACCGTCTTGGATCTTGGTGCCCCCTATCGTGGCCTTGTTAGCCTTGGCCCGTTGTTTCTTTACGCGGGATCGTGGCCTCTGGAGCGTGGACCTCATTTTTTTTCGGAGGTGTTGGCTTGTGGAGTGCGGACCCTACTGTCTTGGTGCAAACTGTTGGCCTTGAGAGCACGGGCCCGTCGTTTTCTTGTTCAGAGGAACGTGGCCTCGGGAGCACAGGTTCACTGTTTGCGTGCAGAGGGGATTGTGGCTTCGACCCGAATGGTCATATTGCTTTCTGCATATTGCACCGAGTATAGAGTCCTCGGGAACGAAGGCCCATAATCTGTAACGAGGAGTTACGTAATCTGTCAATCACGTAGTATGGGACAACATGTTGCGCAATTGGCAATGACTTAAGACATTATGGTTAGGGTCAGCAGTCGTCGTGCACGCTTTGGAGCTTACGATTTCACTAATCAGTAACCGGTTTCAGGTTGTGCGCCTTCAGGGATTCATGAACGATCTCGATTTCCGAGAACTGCGAATTGCCAAGTTGAGTTGAGAAGAGCTAAGTTGCCCAGTTGCGAAAGCAGTCGCAGAGTTTGATCACCCCTGCAAGGGGAGGATACTCTTTTGTTGTGCCCAATCCCGTCCAGTGTCATGTGTCCTGTGTCAGGTGTCTTGCGTTCAGTCGTGCCCTGCTCTGTCCTGGTATGCCTTGTTTGTGTATAGTCCTGTCCTGATGCCCCATTGTTTATTGTTTAGTCTCTCTCTTTCTCTCGCTCTCTCTCTTTCACTCTCTCCTTCTGTCTTTCTGCCTCTCGCTCTCTCTGACTAGTTCTTGCCGTCTCTCTGCGATTCGTGGTATGATCTGCGCGAAGCCTGACATAGTAGATCGTCAATCCAGGCAGACCGTTGGCATTCCTACCAGATGCGCGAGCGGGGGATCAAGCAGTGGTCGATGTCAATATCCGATGTTCCCAATCTTGTTACATCCATTCGCAGGGTTTGGCTTGGTTGTGCGCAGGTAACCAGCTTGGGCAAGGGCTACAAGCAGTGTCGGAGTCATTTCGAGGCTGGGAACACTGGCGCCGAGGGTATGTGAGAGGACATTGGCATTGCGATAGTTCGCGTTGTTGTGGATATTTCAAAACTTGTATGGCAGGCGGCCTCGGACTACAGTATGTGCGCGCACACGTGCTGGTGACGCAAGTCAGGGCTGTATTCGGTTGAACGAAGAAGAGTGATGGCACCCCCACGAGGAGGAGGAGGAGGAGGAGAAAGAGGTGGAACAGGAGGAGCAGGATGAGAAGTGGAGGAGGAGGAGAGGGTCGAGAAGGACGATGCGGATGAGGAGGAAACGGATGAAGAGTATAATGAGAGATATTCACGTTTTTTCGTTGCAGGGGACGGGGTAGGACTTCGCATGGGCGATGAAGGGGTGAGAAGAGGATCCAACCGTTTCATTAGACCACCGGAGCCTACGGGGGACCAGGATGATCCCCCGTGCTTCGCACATCCTGTCATTTGCTTGTAGTCGGGTCAGAATAGCAGGTCGACCCTGCAATATCAGGGGTAGCCTCCTGTCTTGTATCGAAGACGCCTGCGGCGAACCACCGCCGTCCCCTGACTTTGGACGCGCTTATGCGGTTAAGCGTTGGCCAAAGTCTGGCGACGCTTTCGGACTATGTGTTCCCCCCCAGCCGTTTTGGAACCCCGTCTGTGGGAACAGGACGAGTTTGGAGCAGGAAGTGTTTGGAGGAGGAGAAGGAGGCGGAGTAGGAGGATGTGGGGGGAGGAGGGAGGAGCAAGGGAATGGAAAAGGGGGACGAGGAGAGGAGGAGGAGGCGGACGTAGGCATACACTGGCACCAACCAGCGCCACTCAGCCTCAACGCAACAACACCCAGCACATACAGGCGAACAACGGACGACCACTGCCTCATACCCTGTATGGGAGCCCCAAGGGGCATACATGGTGGAGAGGCCCAGTACGACCAGGAGGTACCTACAAAGCATCAAGGAAGCACATTGAGGTGCGACCTTCTGGGGCAGGTACCCCTGCTACTGATATACGTGTCCATTATTCAAACACAAGTAGGTGCCACCAGCACATCCACACGTCTATGACAAATCTCAGATTCTTAATGGGACTTAAGAGCCAACGAAGTGGTTTCAAATCCTGTACGCAGGGACTCGACATATATACATGGCCGAAGCGGACTTCATCATCATCATCAGACCACACATTTGCCACGGCTGTATTCACACAGCCTCATACCCTTCACGGGAGCCCAAGAGGCATACCCGGGGGAGATGCGTCGAGGGAAGGCCTATACATGGCCCGAAGACAATCGTGAAGTTTGGGCCAATTGACAAGATTACCCATTCATCTTCTCATACCTAATCTCAGTTGCTATATGATTCCAACTTATAATTGACACGCCCGCCTTCACATGCATTGCCATCATTGTGTTCGCAAACAGCAACACCTGCGCTGTTTTGGAGAGTACATGGGCCACTGCACGACGGTTTGCTGATCTACCGTCACTGTCGACCCACATGACATGACCACTCAAGAGTTCAAGAAGGCCGACGACACCACGCAACAGCGCAAGTACCTGATCGATTCGCTGTACCGACAGCTGGCCGATTTGTACATTGATGGGGGAAGCGGGACTACACATCCACTGCTGCGTACCCACGGACGAAAACAAACATATCCGACTTGCTACGCACAGTTCCGCCATCCACATTCGATCCAGACTGCGCACAGCCACTGCGCGCACATGTCGAGCCAGGCTAGCAGGACATGATCACCGGGCCGACATCGAGAAACATTTCGTCTACGTATCATTGCGACCAGGCCACGGATATTTGCCTGCGCCAGCCATCAAGGGCTGGTCCGAGGCCAGGAGGGGAACGCATAGCACGATAGCATGCCCACCCGACATTAGCGATAACTGCTTCCATTTACTGCACGATGGCTCTCATCAGCACTTACGGGCTGGAAGTGCCGATGCCCGCGCCATCTCGACGTGTTACAGTGGTCGCAACGGCCAACGGAAGTTCCATACTACAGAGAAGCCGACTACAGACCCGACCACCAGCGGGTCATCGACGATGAGGCTCCACCCATACGTCGATGCGAAGTTTCACTCACGCACGGCGCGTGGGAGCAGCTCAACAGCGACATCGGCCAACAACAGTATGCGTCTAAAATACTCCTACTGCAATGAGGAGGACAGCAAAATGAAAGTTTCAAATACATACGCCACATCGAATTCTGCAAACAAGGCGCCAAGAGGCACGGGTTCCAGATGGGCGAGGACTGCGCCGTGCACGCGAAGGTCAAGTACATCGAACAGACCTGTGCATCGCGCGTTCTCGTATGTTCAATGGCCGATGCAAGCCGCGGCGTCGCATCGGAGTCCGCGCTACTCTCGCTCGCTAACTACCTGGCCGACGCGCTGCGCGCGCCAGGGGCCTCGACCCCCCGCCCGCCGTGGGGGGCGTGCGTGCTAGAGGTGTGGCGTAAGTACCTCGAACTAGAAGACGCTACCAACCTCGAATGCGAGCTACTTGGCCAATTGGAGGGCACAGCGCGCTTCTTATCCACTTGCCATGCAGGCCCAGCATCCCCCGCGCACCGCGAGCTCAAAACACCAGCCAGACGCCGCAACCCCAAGTGGCCACCAATGATCGGAGGCCTTGGGTCTACGCCCATCGCAGAGCTGTTCCCGGGCATCTTCTCATCTGCGGCGGCTGCAACCCGAACTGCATTCAGGTCGAACCACCCGACGTCCTGCGGCACCTTCATGGACCGCGATTCACATGCGACCCGCTAGTGTTCATGCAGACAACGGACGGTTTTGACTTCCGCGCCGGCATGCCGCCAGACGACGAGCACAACGCATTCGCGCAACAACGTCTTGCAGGGCGATGCGAGACCGAGAAGGACTTCTTCGATTACCTGGGAGAGCTTCGATCCACATGCAATGGTCAGGAGACCATGTTGTCGCTAGGGCATGTCATGCTCATCGTCGCATTCAAGAAAGGATGGCGACCTACGACGCGCTAAGATACGAACGTAGCCGCGCATGCATTTAACCTGGGCCACCGCGGATGCGATCGCCGCCGGCTCAGAACGACGACGCGCCATCGGCCCAACGGCAGCGCGACCGATGTGACGACTGCGATATTTCAGCGCCAGAGGGCAGCGGTAGCGACGGGGACGACGCACGGGCCAAGATGATCCGAGCTTCTGGCTTTCCCGATGCGTGTCTATCGCCGCTCAAACCAAACAGATGCCATGACGTGCATTTACACAGTGGCTGGGCCGCCTACTGCCACTATGCCGGCCCAGTCGAAAATTTCAGCGGAGGCGACAACTGGCGCCGCGCAGTCTACTGTCAAGGGGCGCCCAACACATGCGCGATCCAGTTCCCCAGCGACCGCCTACTACTGCCTGGGTGGCGCAGATATCTCAACGCGTGCAACGGCGAGATCGTTGCGCGCGGCGACGACAATCAGTACCTACCGCATCCACCACTACGACCTGACCCCGAGCTGCACCGCTGACCGCTGGTGCATTCCTTGCTACGACTCGCGCGCAGCTGATCTTGCTCAAGGACGCCATCGAAGCGGATTCACACCAACTGCTACGCATGCCGCCAAATCAGCCAAACTTCTCCCGCTGCGGCAGGGACTTGCAAGCATTTGCGCCGCCGTGCCGTGACAGCGGAACATTCAGAGTACATGTAGTCCAGACACACGCCCACGTCGCCGCGCTGATCGCAGAAGGACAAGCACCATTGAGAAATGTCATGATCAAAGCGCTACAAGACGTAGCACTATGGCTCAGCACATGCCACGGCGACTACGGCGTGAAGTACAATTGGGCACTCCTACTACATCGCACATACAAACCGCCAGACCCAAGGCCGCAACCTCCCCGCACGCGCGACGAAAGTGACAGTTCCAACGACAGGGGCAGCATCGCTAGCGTAGCTCAAAGGACTTAACGCATGCCAGCCGGACCATCGCCGCCGCCATCTCAGCGCTTTCTCAAACCGCTTGCGCCCACTCTACCACCATCTTGGACCGCTAACAGCAATCCGACCACCCCAGCAAACATAGCAGACGACGCACGCAAACCAGCAACGGAACGCATGGCGACGCAGCAGCCAAAGCACCCCAAAGTGTCCGCGCCACCATCAACCACGCAGCAAGGCAGCATTCCTCACTCACATCAAAAACAGAACACTATACCAAGCAAGCTCATCCCAAATATAAGCAGTAGCATAACGACAACTGCACTCACGGCCGCGCCGCACCAGCGACTGTGCAAACCACCACCTGCGCACCTAACCCAACAACCGCCGGACGCGCCCAACGCTAGCAGCACAACGGCAGCGGCAATCACGCGTGCACCAGCATTCGCCGCAGTGATCAAACGGTCACCGTCGCACATGTGCATGCCGCCACGCCCTCCACCGCCCGCGCTCGCATCGGCGCGCAGCAACGGGTGCGAGCCACCCCGCGACGGCAGGTAGCGCCGCGGGCACTAGCGACGCGGGGCGCGCACTCAAGAAGCAGTCCGACGCGGGGAGCAACATATACACGCATTCGGTCGACGCGTCATCTTCGCCAACAAACCGGCGACCCAGCATTCCAGAGCTACGTCGACAGACTACACGGACACCAATCTCGCTGCGGGACATGCCTTAGCAGCCTCAGCGAACACGCAGTGGGGCCACCATTTAGGGGGGCCCTACCCAAGCACATGGCAACGGCACACAATGATGCCCCCGAGTCCGAGCCGACAAACATGTATGACGAGCCAGCCGAGCCAGACATAACAACCGACCCACGCCGCGTGGTACCCGGCGGACTACTGCAAATTCCATCACGTGCTCCCAGTGGGTCAATTACCGCAGAGGGGCCCACGCTGAAATTATGCACAGCCGCTCCAGCAGTCAGTCTGTGCACCACTACCGCTGACCTGCAATGCGCCGCCCCTCTTTCTCCTCGCGGCCCCTTTGGCTCGTCAGTGGTACTTGCCCATGAGGTTGGG